AGCCAATGCCTTGCACTGCAGATGGAAACCAACATTGCAAACCAAATCATTCGTCAAGGGTGGCTGTTCCCTGTGAGCACAGACTCAGAGTAAACCTGCTTTGAACTATGGTTGGAGGCGTCGCTCAGACGTGAAGCACCCCTGTGACCTTTGCTGAATGTGTCGTCCTTTGATTTAGTGCCCAGCCCATAAGGAGCTTGGTGGCACAATGCTTTCCCCAGCTCTGCAGTTCATTTGCTGCTTCTTTTGGCACCGAGCCTGCTCTTTTTGAGTTTTTATCTGCATGAGAAATGGATGTTGATATTGAAAGTTGCATTCCCAGTTATCCCAGTCATGACCTTGTCAGCCCAGTCTGAGCAAGCCACAGTGGCCCATGCCCATCTTGCTGTTCAATGCTCCTTGATTATTGTGGGTTATCCTTGGCACATACATTTAAGCAGCTGCGGGTGTAAATAATAGACATGTGGCAGCTGAGTTTGGCACCACCAACACACACAGAGGTGGGACAGCCGCTATAACAGATGCAACTTAGCAGGGTTGTGGAGGCTGCCTATACAAACATCTCTGCCCAAGAGCAATGCCAAGCATCTGAGCAAGTCGCAAGCAGGCACCATGCCCTCCAAGCAGATGGGCATGAGTATCAGGAGGCCAGAGACCACATCCAAGCATTAAGTATAGGCTTGTCATGGGGCATGCATCTCAGCCAGACAAGTCAAAACAGATGTCCAGCCTGTAGATCTTTGTTTAATGCATTTTTATCACACTGCATATTTGTTAAATGCTTTAGAAAGGCTTTGAAATGCAAAAGGAGTTGAAATACAACTCCTGGTTCAGAGACGATACCTTTTATTAGACCAACTAAAAAAAAAAAAAAATCGCAAAAAACCCCAATTCTTTTTCTACAAGCGGGTGGGCACACATGCCCTTCCTCAGGCTCAGGGAGAATTAAAGATGGTACAACGTCCCCATTGGTAGAAAATAAACTTCAAAGGCTTTTCCTTTAAGGTTCTTCGCTGCTCAGTTTGTATGTTGTGCACAAGGCAAAAATGCACACAGCCTGACTTTGGTAATGGGAGGCACGTTACTGATGCTTTTATAGAGGCTGCAGATATTTCTGCCCTCAGTACTGATATGTCTTCCTTTTTCATGCCCTTGTGACAAGGTATTTAGTAGAATTTGCAGATTCATTGGAATCTGATAGGCCGCACCACGAGTGCATCTGCCATGGCCTCGAACTTGCCACCCCAGCCCCCAGGACTGATCTTGATCAATAGAAAAAAAAAAAAGGTCTGGAATCAATAGGATGAAATTCAGCTTAGAGGAATGCAAGGTCTTATGTGGGAGAAGGTAAAATCAAATGCACAAATACAAGATGCACAAAAATGATGCTGTACTACACTGCAAAATGGCAAATGCTGGTCTGGGATATGTTAAACAGATAGGACAGTGGAGCTCATTATTCCCCCTACCTGGCACTGATGAAGCTTCCCATGCAGGCCTGTGTCCAGTTTGGGACCCCACATGTTAAGAAAGATAGATCAACCGAGGAGATTTCAGGGGAGAGAAAGAAAAATGATGGGAGATGGTGAAAGCATGTGGTGAGAAGACTTGCAAAGGGACACGGCCGTTTTTTAGATATCTAAGAAGTTGTTCAAGCACAACAGTAGCCAGCTGCAGGATGGTATTAAAGACCCCCCCGCCCATATGACATAAAATAAAAACAAAAACATTGACTTATTTGCATTTCAACAAGTAAATTCAACTTTTCACTCCCCTGGGAAAATAGACGCACAGAAAAGAAAAAAAAAAGCAGCAAGAGAATTTGCAGTATTTTCCTCCGACTCATTTTCCATTTCCCTGTGATACATTTTACCCATATGCTTCTCAAATGGCTTTAGGTCCTTTTTTGAAATTCTAAGATTATTTTCTTTGACCTTGAAACTGGAATTAGAAATACAAGAAACTTCTCAAAAAATGATTTTGAGAACCATTTTACTAAACGTTTGCCTAAAAAAACCCAACTAAATCTCTGAACATTTTGCAAATAAACACATAAATAAATAAGTGGAAAATGGGTCCACGTAGGACTCCATGAGATAGAAACAATTAAAGAACTTCTTTGAAACCATTTTCCTGGGCTTTATGATCACAAGAACTTTCCCACCAGGGAGTCCATGGACTTGATTACTATATGTGTATGCTTATGGCTGAAGGCATAAAATGCATGCATAAAACCCAGAAGAAATAGGCTGTAAGAGCCATCTAGCATTGTTGGGAGTAGAGATTTAGGCAAGATTCAAAGATTCAGACCAAATTCATACATTTTTTAAGACCTGGAGGAACTATTGGATCATCTTGTCTGTCTTCCTGTATCAACCAGGCCATTGAATCCCTCCCTTTACCTTTCTATTAACCCCAGTATTTGCATATGAGTAAAGTATATTTACCAGAACGGCACTGGGCCTTGGTTCAAAGGCATCAA